CTGGTGAAATATTGGGTTGCTGATTATTTTGTGGAGTAATAGAGCTGATTTTGTGATTGGAAATGGGCACTACAATTTATGTCATCACTGTGTGATGTCATAGAATGATGTAATAGGACAGGACTCGAGGAAATGACATCAAGGAGTATGGCTATCTTTATCTTCTAACATTTTCTACTTTTAAAATCATCATGCCAAATATTCTTTTAATTTTACATATCACCTATATGAATTTTAAGCTAAGAATGTTTATAATGATTGCATTTAAAAGAAAATTTTATAATAAGGCTTTGTTTCAAAGTTAATACAATCTTGATTTTACTTAGTTATTTTTTTTTTGGTCATGTAAAATTATCTGATTTTGGTTTATGCACGGGATGAAAGCTCATAGGACTGAATTTCACAGAAACCTTACACACAACCCGCCAAGTGCTTCTGTAAGTTTGATTTTTTTTTTCAGGTTAACATAGTGTAGCTGGTTGTTAAGAACTAAAACTTCTCTCTCCCTCACTCCTTAAACCAATGTATTTTACTTGTATATGTTTGAATTTTTTTTTTGGTAGAGTTTTTCCCTCGTGATTACAATTCTCTTGTTGACATTAGCATTTCAGAACATGGTCTCAAAGAGGAAAGCAGAAACATGGAAGAAGAACAGGAGACAACTGGTAAGTCAGACATGTCTTAAGGAAGGTTGTCCTAGTCCTCAAATTTACTGGGTTTCGCTGGATCATTTTATATCTTCACAATGATTAGTACTTACTTTGTAGCAATGATAGAGCTTCTTCTGGAATCACGTAGTTCTCTTAGTTTCTCTGTAGCACATTGCCTTGCCCGTGAAGTGACTGCTAATTTTAACTCTGTGATTTAACTTTATTTTATGGCTCATATCTCTTGTTAAGTCATCTGTTTACTAGTAATTAGCACTTTATATAAAACTCACTGACATGAGTATGATTGTAGTGAAAATGCCTTGTTTTCCCATTTTCATACTTGTTCTGAAATAACATATCAATTAGCATAAGGTGATTGTGTGTCTCTAAGAACTTCTTTATAGATAAAAGTAAATAGGAAGTTGGCATGTTAACAGTATTGCAGTAAAGCAGATAAAATAAATTAGAGAGCAGACTTTACTACGGATAAACTCCATTACTTTTTTTGGAAGTGGGATAAAACTGTGTTTACCCAAACTATTTCTCCTTTATTACTTAGCAAATATAAAAAATTGTTTGTGCCCTTTCCTCTTCCTTTATGCTATTAACTAGGTCCATAAACATTCTCAGCGTAGGAATGTGCCTTTTGACTTTGTTTTCCTGATTTCTTATACAATGCCTGCCCATATAGACACTCTGTAAATATTTGTTAAATTCAACCAAATGATGACAGGAAACTAATTCAGTATTTTCTCTGAGTATTGGGTAGCAAATAGACTGAAAAGTCCGATACCCTCTCAAACCAATAAGATGACCTGTGTATGATTGAGCTCATTTCTATCATTGGCCCACGTAGTTAATTGCACGTTTTCTGTGTTTGTAAAAGCATTTCAGTGTTTTTTAAAAGCTTTAAAAATTTTTTTTTAATATTTGGAGCCGTGAATTAATCACAAAAACTTCCTTCTACTTTTTAAATGTGCCTTTTCAGATCAGATTTTACAACTGAGAATTGCAGTATTTCCTACTTTTAAGGGGAAAAATGAATAGTGCTTAAAATATGGTGGAATTCTACTACAGAGCATTCCTGGGTGATTACTCCTGTACATGTTTTATAATTCTCGCGGCCATCATCATGACTTCTATCAATGTTTATTTACCAAGGAGAAGTAGAGGGACTCTTAGTATTTGGGGCAGGAAATTCTTTAAATCCTGTATCCTACCCCCATCCCCTCCCCCCAACGCCCTCTCTCCGGCTGCCCCTTCAACTAAATGCCAGTCAGCACCCCATCAGGTCATTGGAATGACGAAAATCTGCTGTCACACGTTTCAAATAGTCCCTAGCATACTGCCCTTAGTTGAGAACTACTGTAAAGAAATTGTCTTTGTAACATTTTATATGAATTAAGGAGAAATGGAATTAGGTTTATAATGAAAAGACTGGATGTTTTATATATGTGGCTGGTTAACTTTACAAAGCACACTCCTTTTCTTATTTGTCATCCTCCTATCAATGGAGTTAGGACAGGTATTATAACTCCCATTTTCTGTAAGAAGCTGAGGCTCAGACAGGTTGAATAACTTGCTTGAGAACACATCAGCAGGAGTGGGGAACCAGGCCCACTGGGCTCAACCTCCTTATTCTTTTTGAATGGATTTTAACCTTAAAATAAAACAGTTACTTTGCCAGCAAAAATGGATTATTTGAGAATAACAGAGAATTGCAATTTGAGACATACAAATATGTATAAACCATTGGCCAGTCCAGCAAAGAAAAGGAATGGGTATTTTAAGAGAAGGACGAGGATTTGGAAGGGGTCGTTTTGAGCAAAAGTCCATTGGAAAAAAGAGCAGAGACCAAGGTGGGAAGTTTCTCCTTATGTGAGTTGCAGGGCAAGTTTTCTCATAGAGGTGTGGTATGCACTCTTCACTGTTAGGGCTGCATTGAGGATTCTTTCCCTGTTGATTCTTCTGATGGGATCTGTAATTGACAGCCCGGGTAGTATAGCTCCCCCCTTCTAGTATCCCAAGTCCGCTTTAGTGAGCTCTCCTTTACTCATTTCCACAGGATTTATGGCTAAATATATAAATAACCATTGAGCTTCTTGGAGGGCAGAAATCATATTTTTTAAATAACATATTATCTGGCTTGGTTCCTATTCTAAGCTTTCTACATGATAAACATGCAAAACAAGTATTAAATGAAAAATTAACCTCTGTATATATTGCTTTTTTGTAGTGAGCCATTCTCAGATCTTTCAAAAAAATATTTAAGTATGCTTTGGTTTGATAAGCTCTTCCTTTGCAGGCATATTCCACAGTTGGGACACCAGATTACATTGCTCCAGTATTTATGCAGACTGGTTACAACAAATTGTGTGACTGGTGGTCTGGGGAGTGATTATGTATGAAATGCTAATGTTTTATCATCTGCTTATGTACATACTGTATAAATTTCTGTGAGTGCCCCTGATTAAACATACTGCTGATATCATGGGCTAAAATATCTGAACTCTTTTAAACCAATTTTGACATCCCCAATGTTAAATACACGATAAATACCAGTGAGCTCTGTAGGGATTCAGGAGGGGTATGTAACCAGAATTCCCCTGTATCAAATTATATCTGCATGGCCTTTCAGGTAAAGGGGAGTGCT